ACACGCACATTAACGCATGTACTTATATAATAAATAATAAATTTTAATCATTTAATCAAATTTAATATATTTTTTTGAGTTAAATATTGTTAAACTCTATTATTTTAATTATTTATTTAAATTAACGATATATTAAGTAGAAATAATGGTGACTTATAGTAATAATTAAAATAAATAACTCTAATTGGATATAATTTGACATTATAAATTTAACAGTGTTTGTCATAGAACGGAAGGCCAAGTTTAGCGTAAGCCAAGAATTTTGATGTTATGCAATCGGGCTGTAAACGAGATGCGAAACAAGCTCGTGGCAATCCATCGTGCTCATCAAACGCAACGTTTACAGCCATTTACTCCGCGTTGAAGAAATCCATGGTGAATCTTTCGGCATCCGTTTCATACGCGATATAACAGGCCCAACTGGTTTTTTTTCGTTACATCAAGATGCGATATCCTTTTTCTCTCTCTTTTCCTCTATCCTTCTATCTATAAAACTTGGGATTTTTCCGTTCGTGCTTGTTCTCACATCGCGATGGTTGACGCAATCCATCGTATTACCGGGGTAATAGTTCCAAGTCGCAATTTTTCAAAGTTGACAAAAAGTTGACAAAAAATAATAAAAAATTGAAGGTTGATAAGGCTAAGAAACGAGGAAAAGACAATAAAGGTAGCTACATATAACTAATTTAATATCATATGATGATTTCAAAATGTGTAGATAAATACGTTTTTTTGAAATTAATATAATATTAAAATTACACAATAAAAATGTGAAAGTATTCTACACCGAAAAAAAGGTTCAAATTGGAAATGGACAAACCCCAGAAAATGATCTGATTATACCTCTATCAGAATTCCGATTATCTCAACTAGAATTTTAGTAGATTTAATCAGAAAATTTAACCGGAAAATTCTCGTTGAGATACGTCGGAATTCTGATTGATATAATCAAAATTTTCTGATTTGTTTTTCTGATATGTATTCAACCAAACATATTTTTTTAGTATATTAGTATAGTTCATATATTTTTTTGTTACATAATTTTAATATTATATATTAAAACCATTATAAATTGAAGAAGACTCTGTGAGTTGAAACGTTTTTATCTACATATTGAATAATTTGATATTAAATTAGTTAATAATATTAGTTAGTACCAATTATTATCTTGTAATCTTTTTAGTCCTTTCTTGATCTTATCAACCTTTAATTTTTTCTTCGCACATACATACGCTAGTGAAAATTAATAATAATAATAATAATAATATCGCATTTTAATCATCTTCTTTCTCATTTATTTTTGAAAAATCGTGAAAAAAAGGAAAAAGCGAATCGACAGTTAATACATTAATCCAATTTCAAACTCTGCCAGATAAACGAAAGAATGTCAAGTCAGTCAGTTTGATCCTTCTTTAATTAATATCAATTAATGTAGCTTTGGCCTAAATTTGCATCATGGATTGAAAATCATTCCTACGCTAATTTCCGTATATCTTCCGTATATGTTATTGGAGATACGTTTTAATTATTAAATGAATATACATATATATAAGTGAAAATGCGCTGAC